TAAAAAAATTCATCAATATTTAATGTTCAAACAAATTAGTCGACTGAAGCTTTTCAAAAGAAGAAAAAAGAGTAGACAGTATCAAGAAGAAAAAGAAAGCGACAAAAAATTTGACCACTGTTTTTTAGTGGTGGTTTAAAATTTTTTTGAGATTATTGCCGTTGTTATTATTGTTTTGATTCTTTCAAGCTGTTTTTTTGTTTTTTCCTTTACAGATGTTTAGAACTTTTTGTCTGATACAGTAACAGACTGTTATTTTTTTCAGTCTTATTCAGTTGTTTGCATTCAGCAACTATTCGGCTAAACTGAGCTATCGGTGGATGGCGTAGGCGATATAACAGTAGAAGAAGATAGTGCTGCAAGACGTAGTTTGCTTAGCACTGCTGTTGGCATCGCTAAAGATATCAACAGTACTGATGGCCATCAAAAGAATCTGGTACGTTGATCATGATTGATAATCACTGAACAGATTCTGGAAGTTGTGGCCATTATACAGTCTTTTAAAGCGGTGGTGGTCATAGTTTTGATGAGAAAAAATATGGAACAAGTGGAAAAACTGGATCAGTTATCGGAATGTTTTCCGTCCTTCTTTTGCTGGTTTCCTTTTTTTCGTTCTCCTCATTTGCACTCCTTTTTTGTCTCTTCCTTTTTTTTTTTTTAAATGACCTTCGACTTACTTTTGGTTCTGTTGATCAAATCTTTTTTGGTTTTTTTACTTATTTCAATTTTTTTTTGTAATTTCAGCATTTCAATCTGTGCTTTTCATTTATATATTTATTTGTTTAGTTATTTTAAATGAATACATGAAAGAAAAGCATTTATATTCAATTTTTTTCACAACTAAATAACATAGAAAATATGCGTAGTGTAAAAAAAAAAGGAAATTTTTTTAAATAGATTTTTAAAAAAATTCGTGACACTATCAGGTAAATATATAAATAATAATAACTCACTATTATATTTCAGTACTCAGTTGTTTTTTTTACTTTTCAGCCAAAAATATTATTTCATTGTTGTTTACTTTTTTAAATGATTTTTCAAAAAAAAAAAGGTTGTTTGACTTTATTTAGCAGAAGAAAAAAGACAGGAGGAAACAGCTCTGCAGATATGAAATTGCAACAGCTGAGGGACAGTAATTGACTGTTTAGCGTCGTCAGTTGCTGTAAAAATTGCATTCAGTCTGTCGCCATCGTTGTTGAAGCAGAAAAAAGAAGAAGAGTAAAGTAGTAATGAAAGATTTTTACGATTTTCGTATTAAAAGAAGCGTTTTTTTTTCTCGGATTATTTCTTTTTGTCTGACACAATCATTTGAGAGAAAAAAGGAAGAAGATAGCACAGAACTTTTTTTTTTTTGTAGATCTTCCTTCAACATTTTTTTTTCAAAATAAAGTCAAAAATTTTTGTCGAAAATATGTGTTTTTTCATCGTCCCTTTCACTTTCTTTTTTTCCAGTTGCCTAAGTGTTGTTAGTGTTTAAATGATTTTTCTTCTGCTTTTTATCTAATGATATCATTTTATGTTGTATTAAAAATATGTGTATAATCAAAAGAAAAAGCTAAACTTTAGATTACATCCTTAAAACTGTGTGTATTCGTTGTAATCTTTTCGGCGTATCATTGTGATGGTGGCGGTAACGCTTGAACTTTGAATATCCACCATTTACTCAGTGGTATGACACCTTTGTAGATCGAAGGGCAACAAACGACGACGATGTCAGACCAGGATGAGGATCCCTATGCAGTCAGTTCAGATTCGGAAGATGAAGTCCAGGGGCCACCACCGAAAATAAACATCGAAGAACGTGCCGTTGCCGATCTCACCAGCATTGTTCGTTCGTCATCCTTTTCTTTCCTTTTTTTTTGCACTTTATTAGACTTTTTTTTTGGTTTATTGTTGTCGTCGTCATTGACAGTCCCAGCAAAACTACTTTTTTTACATACTTCAAAAGAAATGGAAAAAATTTAGAAAAGAATAGGGCAACAAAAAAATAAAACAAAAATGATCTTTGCCTTTTTAAATATTTTAAACAGTATTTGGTCGTTTTCTAATGGCTTTTTTGTTGTCGCCATTGTTACACATTTTCGCTTTGTCGCTGTTGTGTCTTGTTATAAGACTGAATGGATTGTCTGGTTGCAGAAGGCAGCATTTACGGAGGCAAAAGAAGGTGAAACTGCTGTTACAGATGCTGCACGACTAGAGGAATTGAAGGAACTTGCTGCCAAAAAGGAACTTTCAAAAATTAAAAAAGAATTTCTAGAAGGTGAGGTAATTTGAAACTGACTTTTTTCTTTTTGGCATTTTTATTGGTGGTATTTTAAGGAAGTTTCAATACAGTCTAGGAACACTGAACAGACCCAACAGTATCTGATGAGATAGGTCTACAGCATTGGTTGCATTTGGTTGACGTTAACTAGCATTGACGCACTCACAACAGTGAATAGGTTCTGTTGAAAGATACTCACTCTAATTTTTTGTCTATCTTTTTTTTCTTTCTTCGTACAGGTTACGAGTAGAGGTACAGGAGTAAAAAGAACTAAGTGTTGAAGAAGGTGTCATAGTTGAACTCGAAGTGTGACAGAAAATTGAGTTTCTTCCCTCCAATGCCTCTGATCTTTTCGTGTCTCTGAGGTAGTACTTAATAGAAGCTGTGCATCGGTTTACTCCGGTGTTTCATATAGTTTCTAATAGCTTTGGATACTGTTGCTGTAACAGTGAAAATCGACAGATACCTCAAAAATGTACATACATCGGACAATCAAAGGTAATCAGTTATCGTCATTGAGAATTGCAGAAAATTAACATTGCCTTTTTTGCCCAAAGTTTGAATCTTAGTGCATTTTCAAAAAAGTGCACAAAGGCTGAATTGTTGTCGTTTGAAAATCAAAAAAAAATTTTTTTTGCCAATATACCACACAGATGAAAGTTGGCAAAGAAAAAGACTTTTCAAAAAAAAAAAATTGTAATAATCTGCATTGTTATTTATATTGATATTGGTGGAGAAACACTGTGTTGTAACTTTGTACATTTTAATGCAAATTTTGAAGTCACAGATTGGTTTATTGTAGTGGGAAAAAATGATGAAAGGATTAAAGAAAAATGAAAAAGAAAAAGTTTTTTTGATCTTTTAAAAATTGTTTCAAAGTGAAGAGTCGGCAAGAAAAAGTCGAAATATTCTGAGAATTCAATTGTATTTTCAAATTTTGCTGGAAAAACCTCTCATCTTTCTCATCTGCTTATTTTACTTTATCCTGTTTGTTATATTTTCTCATTTTTTCTTTTTTATACTTTAAGAGTGTTCCAGCAAAAAAAGGAAACAAAAAGATTGGGAGAAACGAAAAACAATATTGTGTTGGTACCAATAAGACGATAAATCCGGTGGATGGCACTTTGCTTAAACACTTTTACTTGTTTTCTTCTTTTGTTCATATCAGAATCAACATTTCTCCTTTGCTGGGTACTCGGAAAATTTGTTCCGTCTCTCGTCATTTTTGTCTCAAAAAAAAAAAAAAGATTATGACTTTATGTCTGTTCACAGAATTAGGAGAGGACTGATGGGAAAAAACGCCAAATAAATATAAGACATTCTTCATTTGCCTATTTTGTTCTTCTTTCTTCACCTGTACTTCATTTGTTGCTTAATCTTCGCCGTTATCATCATCGTCTTCCTCAGCCACCATTTGGTTGATAGTGTCATGAAAACTTTGTAATATATATTCTTTTCACGACGGGTACAGGTTTTTTCAATTTTATTTGATCATCGGAACCATATTTTTATGTACAGCAAAATCTTTTTGTCACATCTTTAAGGCGAAAAATCTGAATGAAATCGTAGTTGACAGTTTTGTTCATCGTTTATGCGAGTTTTTCACTTTATTTTTATATCGGCTCATTTTTAAAATTTGAGAACAAATTTGATTCGTTTATCTTAACATCCTAACTTTTGTCTACATATTTTTTCTCCTGTTTTTACGGTTGGTGTTATTGATATTGTTAAACTTTTATTTGACGTAAAAAAAGTGCTGAATACAAAAATGAAGTATCATTCAGCTATGTAAAATAAAAGGAAAGATAAAAAAAAAGTTTCACAGAAAAAGGAGAAGCAGGAGGAGGAGAAGAAGGAGGGGGAGGGACTATATTATGAGTGCTGACACTTGCAGAAGGAAGATTAATAATATTAAGTGTATTGGCACAAGTAAACATTATGGGCCAAAAATCTTACAAGACTATCATTATTAATACATTATACCTATATTTGCAATTTATGTATATATATATATATATATATATATATATATATATATCGTATATATATATATATATATATATATATATATATATATATAGGCAAAAATGCTAACTCAAGGCGGATACTGGATAAGACTGTTTTGTCTTGTATAAATTTTGACCATTATTATTTACCGGTAATAACCGGCTGCTTCAGTGCAAGAACAGGGCAAACATCGACTGATTGCTATAGGGTTATCTCAAACCATCTATCAAATATTCATCGTCATTTCAGTTCTTTTTCGTGTCTATTTTGTTCAATGACTAATTGATGGCAACAATTTGTTGTCTGTTTGAAGCATAATAATATATGCTGTACCTGTTGATCAGTTAGGCAATAAACTGCTAAATAGATGGATGGAGGGATGGATAAATTAAAATTTACAGTGAATTCTACTATTGTCTTTATTCAAAAAAATTGGTTTGATCCTCTCAGTTTTGGAGTATTATTAGGTTTTAATTTGGATTTTGAGGACCTTTTTCTTGGTTAATGAAGCAGCTTTTTGCTTAATTTTTATAGGCAAAAACAGAAAATAAATTATTTGCAAAATTTTTTTCTTGTTTAGCCCTTTTTTTCTTTTCTTTTTTTTTTTTTTTTTTTAA